GCCAAGTTGATCAAAGCCCGATTAAGCTAGCCCAGGGTTAGCAAGAATTTTGATTTCAGTTTTGTTGCGTTTTAGTGAGGTTTTCTGCTTATTTTGTTTGGCCTTCAGTTTTGAATTTAAATAATCCCAAACTACACAAAACATAAATTAAGCAGTGAAAAAAAAAATTATATGCATTAGCCAGTAGGTCTTGAGTATCCAACCAAGGCTCTTATGCAAGAACACATCCAGCTTTTTCTTGTCTGCTATATCATTTGCCAATTTTCACATGCATACAGCAGCAGCAGGAGTACATTAGACTTAAAAAGTTTGATCTCGGTTTTGCTGTTAAACTGACCGTTCTTCCAGATCAGGTCCAGGTTGTTATACACAGCCTGTGCTTTTCCTAGTCTTGCTCGAATGTCCTCTTCTGTACTGCCTGACCCTCGTATTTCTTTAATATCTTGCTTGTCAACTTGAGCTTTCTCATTGCATTTTTATTACACAGTATTAATTATTTTTCTCCAATTTTTTTTCTCCTATTTTCTGGTCAGAAATCTAAAAATCCCATTGTCACCACTGCTGAAGCATCCAGTGACGAGAGCACAAAGGCAGAGTCTCCAGAACAGCCTCAGGCTATCACCATGGCAGCACAACCCAAGGCCTCATTAAGCACTGTTCATGTGCAACAGAGCTTCCATGGAATACGATCGTCGATCCCAGTGCTTACTCATTCAGCTTCTGAGGTAAGATTTCTGTTAAACTAAAGTTTACATGCTCTTTCTAAGAGAATAAAGTAGCTTTGAGTTGAGAGCAAGGTGTCAGATTATGACAGTCACAGAAGTGGGTCACAATGAGGGATAAATCAAGCACATACATGTACTAGTTATCCTTATATCTAGACACATTCAATGATGGAGTGACTCTCATGTGACTTTGAAAAAGTGTTATAAATCCTGGCTGGCCAGTGGTGATTTGTTTCAGCTGTTAGTAATTGAAATTGTTAAAGATATCTATTGGTAAAGATGAGAGTTTGGCACATCACAATACTGAAAAGTGACTGGTATCAAAAAGTATAAATGTTTTTGATAAATTAGTAACTTGCTATAGGGAGTGTCGAAAAGTAATTGGTTTTGCACTTACTTCGCTACCTGATTGGCTTAACAAAACTCACGGCACTCTTTCATCCAATCAGAAGTAAAACCAAAACCAATCACGATTCGCTCACATGCTTTTTCCCGCACTTTGCGTCAGCTACATGCAACCACTTCAAGCTTTGATTGGTTCACTGGAATGCCTATGTCCTTTGTGATTGGCTAGAGTGATTACTTTAGCTTCGGTTGTATGACACTCAATTGAAAACCGCTCTGTACTCGTTACGGATTTTGTGCTGCACATTCACTACATCAACCAAAAGCCATCATGCTCTCCTGTCCATTGTTTCTGAAACCTATCACATTGCTTGCATCTAGTTCCTTTGTTGTTGTTGTTTTCCGTGTTCACTCTGCATTTTTTTCATGGTTGACCACACAAAAATTGCCCTTACTAATAAAGAGTATTTTCACTAGGGGAAAATTTTTTGTATCAATGCACCTCAAAATTCTTTGAACTACAGTGTACCGTAAAAAAAAAAATGCTTGTTGGTCAGTAAGGATATGTGATATTTTAAGCTTATTATAAAGGAAGCCTTTCACAGGGTAGTAGCTGCTGCGTGATGTTATTCTTACCATTAACTGACCACTGTCACATTACATAAGATTATTTTCTTTTCACTCTACAGCCCACTTACCATCATACAAGGAAAACTCTTGTGCGAAGTGCTGCTGTGACGAGTGTGCCTTCACCCCCGCCCTCGCATTACCCAGATGAGGTCACAGAGGTGTGAAATATTAACCATTCAAGTAAATGAAATGTGGTACTAGCTCCCCAGTTTATGTTTCCCTGGGTTCTCAATATTCTTCTGAAGGTTGTCAGTCATACTGTGTTTTATTTAGTTGACACGGTATGTTTCTTTGGAAATCTGCAAAGCTGATTGGTTCTCCCATTGTTGTCTATTTAACAATAAGACTAAGAGGCTGAGCTTTCTATGAGCAAATAGTCAATTAGGCGTAGCTGAGATTACAGCACAAAATCTACAATTGTGTATTTTTAAGCCTAAAACTAAGAATAATTCAAGTTTTAAGAGCAGCATGCACCTGATTGAACGTCTTTTGGCAATTAGTAGAATTCTACTGGTATACTAATGCAAAGACTGCAATCTCACTGGCTGAGGTACTCATTTACCATCAGCCATTAGAGTGCAGTTTGTTTTTGAAAGGGAAAATTATTCTTGATCTGTGGCTTACAAAATACCAAGATGGAAGATCCTATAGAGTATCTACTAATGCAATTAGACTACTCACAATGGTAACTTTTCATAAGCTGAACTTGGCTGCACCTTGCTGGTTATTATTAGCTCATACAAAACTTGGTATCATAAGGTTGTTTCTTTCAGGATTTGGTACAATATGGAAATTTATCCTTAATTTCCCTACATTTGAGACTTATTTTTGGAACTTTGCAGTACTTGTATGTCCTTTTGCCTTTCCAGGGAACACCTCCTTACAAGAATACAAGTTTTGATTCCAGTGACAGTGGGATAGCAGGAGAGTTACCACCCAGACTGGAGGCACTGGGAAGAACTTCTAAACAGAGTTCACTTTCCAGAGGTAAGTCTAATAAATGTACATGGAATTGATTTGTTAAGTATCACTGTCACCATTGCTCAAAATGATTTCATGCCATTTTCTGGCAATGATTCACTGAGCAAAAATATATAAAACATAGCATCCGGATTGTTAATTTGCACACATGTCTACACTGTTGTGGTTGAACTACATTTCTAAATATTGAAAATAAGTGAACTGATCAACATGACACGAGTGCGGGACAAAGAAAAAATCTGGGTCCCTGACAGGAATCGAACCCATGACCTCCTGAACACTTGGTTGGCGNGGGGGAAGGGACACTTTATCCACTGAGCTACGAGAGAATGCTGATCAGTTCACTTTTCTCATTTCATTACCGAGCATAAAATTAGCTCTATTGTAGTCAATGAGGCGTAGCTGAAAAAAATAAATTTGCTCAATCCACTGAGCTACTTAGCTACGAGAATGTTGATCAGTTCACTTTTCACATTTCATTACTGAGCATAAAATTCACCATCTTTATTCACTTATCACAGTTCTAGGGAAGGAAAAGAGAGTTTGAGTTCATGTTGAATGAATTTTGTAACTGTGTACTTTCATCTGTTCTTGCAGATGGCTCTTTTGAATACACAGATTCGACAGGCACTGACCTCCATGATTTTATTATAAAGACTTTAAAGAATCCAAGGTTAGCTTGCTCAATGCCCTTACTATAACATACAATACATGTACATGTACTACTATAAGTCTGACAGGTGTAACCTGGCTTGTAGAAATCTGAACATTTTGACCCCCAAATCTAATTAAATCAGTTTCTTGTCCTTGACACTCGCTTGTAGCCTACTACTTTGGGCTCATCGCACAATCTATGTCACGCATTCTTCCTCCCGCACAAACACGGGGAGGAAGATTGCATGACGAGCGCAAAGAGCATCTGTGTAGGAGGCTAACTCACTACTGAGTGGCTTGCAATAATTTTTGTGACAGTGGCAACCAACCTTACAGTTGTTCATGACAGAAAGCACTTTGGTCTGAGCTACATAGATGGAACCCTGTGAGATAGAGATTCCCTTCTGAGAGATGAAAGGTCCCCTCTCAAGTCTCACCAAGCAGAGAGAGAAGGGGATCTCTCGCAGGGGACACAGACGGCCATCTTAGTAATGAATGCTGATAGCTCAGTTAAGGTTATCAGTTCAAGTTTGTACAGTGCTATCTTTTCTTCTTGGGATCTTGCACAAGTTCATGTCTTGCAGCAGCTGATTTTAAGGTAGATTATGTGCAGGCAGGAATCTGCATGCAGATGGACTTGTCTCTCTGGGCTGAAACTGTCCAGTTTTTTGTTTCTGCAAATACATGTACTGTAACCACATGCAGTAATACCCAAGATGCTTGCCTGCAATCAAATCATGTTTGAAACAGGGATGCTAAAAGCAAGGTCAAGAAAATTTTATGAATTAGAAGTTGCAGAGATTTTGACCTTCTCTGGTGCTTGCTAAAACCGTCAGCTTCCATTCTTGTCTGCTTTGATTCTGAGGCGTGCTACATGTACCAAAAGGAACTGTCATAAGGGATAAAGTTACTCAACTAACAGTTCTCTTCGTTCTCAATTCTTAGGGATCGAAAATTTCTTATGAGACTTGAACAGGACTTCCTGAATTTTATTCCAGAACCAGCGTAAGTGGAATAATTCTCATGGCAACGATGTATGGTTTACGAAAAGCAGTGAATAACTTTTTTAAAAAGACTCGCTGACTGTCGAAATGCGCAGCATAGAAAAGTTTTGGTTTTCCTGAGAAAGATAGACTGCCAGTGATTTGGTCACGCACGAGTTCTTTTTTTTATAAGAATATATTTTATAAGAATATCGAGGCTGAAAATTCATGTGTTGAAAATTTGTAAATACAAGACAATTATAGTTCTGAACTAAACTGTATGAAATACTTCCTTTCTCTACGCAGCAAAACTAGCCAAAGAGCACCAAAAACAGCACTAGCCGTATGTTCGACGCTAGTTATGTTTCTGCAAGAAGTTATGTGCTTCATATCACAGTGCCTTCAGACTGGCTCCAAAATTACTTTAACACCATCCAGCCACCAAATACATTCTAAAACAGAAATGTCATACTCTATAATCTAAGAAAAATCACAAGAATACTTTCAGCCTAAAATCGGCAGAAAAATTTAAGAATATTCAGCCTCGGCTTGAAACAACAATATTCTTATAAGAAAGGGTGTAAACTAAAATTGGAAAAAAATAAGATTGCAGGGCAAGATAACTCAAGATATAACATTTGTGACAAAGCTCTTTTGTTATGATTGAGCTTCTTTGTTTTGGATGAATTTTCCAAAGAAAATGATATACTTGTAAACCAGTGCAGTTAATGTCGGAAATCATGATTTCACCGACCCACCATCATTTTTGGTGTTGCTGTTTTAGTTGTCCTTGGTGACATTCTTTTCTTCTGTTTTATGCACAAACGAAACTTGCGTGGGTCATGAAAAGAGAGGGGAAAATAATTAAGATTCATAGTTTATAACAAGAACCAAGCTATCAGGTTAATAATCTTGATGTCAAGAAGATTGTACTTGAATTTCTTAGTGCATTTTGCTTTTTCAGCAGTCTCTTCCTCCATTACCCACCAATGACGTCATACCATCGCATGATCGTGCACCGAGTTGCGGCGTATTTTGGTATGGATCACAACGTTGATCAACAAACTGGAAAATCAGTCATCATAAACAAGACAATTAACACAAGAATGTACGTACAACTCGTCAAAAACATAATTATTTAAAGGAGCTCCGTCGCAGTTTGCGCATTTGAGAGCCTAAATTTTTCAAATTTGTCGTTTGTAATCGGTGTTGATCTTTTCCATCATCAACCATCCTTGTTCCAATCCTTTATGGTTTATTATTATCTCTCTGGTGTTTTTCTATCAGTTTTCCTTCAATTTAAGATGATTCCCTGGTAAAAGAACCCGCCATAGATTTCCGATGAAATTTGGTATGCTGATGTTACAGGACAAGGAGATATTAAAAACGTAGTAAAAAGAGGGGGCCACCGTGCTTGTTTTCACGCCACAGTGCTTACAAATACAGTTATTTAGGCGACTATTGGTAATCTCCGTGCGCAGCAAATAAGCTCGATTATTTTTCAATGCAGCGTGTTATATCACACAGAGTTTAACTTTCTTTGATTGTTTTTTCATCTACGTCCCAGAAAAAATGTCTTCAAATACCCTGCATTTTTTATCCTTTAAAGGAAACATAATTTGCACTGTTTAGCCCGTTATGTCTCCCTCTGTAGAATTTATTTCATTTGCCAAAAAAGTAGCCATAGATTTCTGCTATTTTTTTTCTCGGTTATTGAGGATATTGTTCTCATTGAAATTATGAAATAAAAAGTGGGGGTCACAGTGCTCGTTCAAGAGAAAAGCAGCATTTATTTTGCTATCGAGCTTAGTTTGAGGGAAATCTCTTACGTTTTGTACGCGCGCGCGCTCATGTGCGCGCGCTAATGACGCGAATATCGTGCGCAATAGGGATGCGCAATGCAATACTAAGGAATCACCTTAAAGGTCATTTTGTTCGTGGCCAAATTACCGTAACTAAGCTCCCTTATTAGACATTATTTACGTGGAAGAGAGGGTCTATGGTGTTCGTCGTCTCAAAAACCATTTTGTAATTTTGATCATTTGCAGACCTGAAAGCAGATTTTTAGAGTTGATACCCAGAGAAGAATCAGAGGACTCAGAGAGCGCCATACCACGATTAATTCTTAAAAGACAGAATACTCCTTCAGACGATAGTACTCCTCCAAAGGTGAAAAATTTCTTACAGTTCTTTGGCATGCTGCAGAATAAGTCCCGACTTGCATGTCCGCCTGATACATATATGTTATTTGCCGGCCGGGAGATCCGTGTTGGGCCACGGGCCGTACTTAAAACCGACCAAGACCGGCAAAGAACGTGGTTATTTTTTTCTCTACGGTACTACTTTGAGAGCAACTTTTGTGCTGAATTTTAATTAAAGCCGTTCAGTTCAAATCTAGCGTACAAGTGCGTTTGAAATTTTGAGCGCAAAAAGCGATAAAGTTTGCACAATTTGTAGGGCTGATTTTGTAATTGGTTGACTCTATGTTGAATGTTTACATTTTACGATGTTGTAAGCTTTAAAAAAAAAAGCTTGAAAAGTTGACGAAGTTGGAAATGTCGCAGCGGTCCTCACTCGGGGTCCGGATGGGAAAATCAGGACCGCTGGAGCGCGCGCGATCAGCCAATCATATTCAAGGATTAAGGATTCCGGACCGCTGAGAAGCTGGAGAAGAAAAATAAATGCTGATAAGTTTTGTCACTGTCGTAGATTGATAGCCCTGTTCTTATACATTCTATGGAGGATAAACGCTCAAAATCGATTGAAGAAAGAGAAGAGGAATACCACAAAGCCAGGGAAAGAATATTTAATCAAGATGTGAGTTTCTCTTACTGCCTGTTGTAGCACCTCCGGTCTTAGTACTGTCGCTCTCATATACACACATGCTTGTAATTAATGATAGAACGGTTTTCAACTGAGTCTTGTAAAACCAAAACCAAACCAATTAATTGCTTACCAATTGGACTACTTAGCCAATCTCAAACCGTAGTAAAACCTCAACCAAAACCAAAGTAATGTCTGATTACTTTCGACACTCGATTGAAAATCGCTCTATACAAAATAATGCAATATGTTTGGGTTATCATTACGAAATTATGAAAATAATGATGTAAGACTTTGAAGTGCGCAATGTTCTAGAAGTCGGAGCATGTTTTTGCTTGAATGTGATTTTTTCTTGCATTGTTTTCGTCTTAGTTGAAGCTATTTTTTCTTGTCTTAGTCAATTTCATCACAGTCTTCGCAGTCGTCAAAAGGTGATGCTGATCTTGTGCCACCACAACTCTTACAAAGGTAACATAACGCCTAGAATAAAAAACGTTTTGTAGTGTCCATGATTAGTAGGACTGGTTTAGGCATGCTAGAAGTTTGACATGTTTACGAAGTTGCTAAATTTATTATTAGCTCTGCCGGAAAACAAGTTGTGTCTTGTTTCGATAGAAGATATGAGACATTTTACCTTAGTTCCAGTGAATAAGAACTATTGCAAAATAAAATAATCTGACCACTTACGTGATGCAACTCGTAACTTGAAAAAGAGGACATTTTTTTTCCTTGCGTTTTTTTTTTGGGAGTTGGGTTTCTTAGCTTCTAATAATGTGTTGAACATTTTCTTCAGGGAAGACATTGAGGATGTTGATGAAGTTGTTGGTGTTGAGGAGACACCGGAGAGGCTCCCAATCAGTAAAATAGGCAAATCAAAATCCGAGGAAGTAGATGTGCCAAGCGACAGGTCCACAACAGGGACAACAGGTGAGAAAACCAAGCTCGATACACATTGAGATTGACTACTAACGGTGACTGTCGGCATTTTAACCCCTTCGCTCCAGATGGGATTTTCAAATGAAAGCTACTGTAATTAGCTGATAAGTACATGATGGCGCTGTTTATTGTGCTGTACAAAGGGGTTCTCTATTTCCCCCCTCCCCGGGGGGGAGGGTGTTTACAGGTTACTGCATACAAGTATTGCCTTAGCTACATACTATCTCAGAGCCTGTGAATGGAGCATGTTAAAACATCTTAACACCATCTTATTTCAGGCATTCGAATCATGACCAACAAACCATTCATAAGGTCCAGCAGTAGTCCTGGTGTTAGCAATCTAAGCGCTTCCCCTGCCTTTGAGCGTGTGTCTACTTCCGCTCGCCGAGGGTCGGATGGAAGCCAGAGGCCTAGTCAGCGTCATGTTTCCAGCTCACAGACTGTCGTGTCAGCACCAATACCTTACTGGGCGGCAGAAGGGGTCCCTTTTGTTGCTCATAATCTACCTTCTGGGGAAGTCCAGATGATGCCTGTTCAAGCGGCACCTCCTGGAATGCAAGGGATGGTGCCTGTCATGGCCGGACCAACTGCCGCGTCACAGCAACCTGGTAAATACGTTTATTGTGTATTTCAGATCGTACATCGACTTTTATTGGCCACACTTCAGTTCTGTAGTTAGTTGGTGATTGTGCACGTAAGATCGTTTATTAATCCGCAGCTAACATTGAAGGTGTTCATTTTGTTTTCTGTAAGCTCTGAAAGGCCAAGGTTCGTCAACTTTTACTTAACTGCACTTTTGCAGGAATTGTTAAACTATGGTCTAACGCACATTCGTACATCAAGGGAGAATTCCTTAGTTAGAACTTTTCTCTCATCTCTTCTACGTTTTTAGGCAATTTTTTTTATCCTTCGTTTTACAGTACTTTTTTTCTATATCATTTAGCGAGTGGAGTGTTGTGGTCTATGCCTCAGGAGCCGGTACAGCACGGAGTGATGCTTATAAACCCCAATACAGGTATTGCAGAACACGGATTTACCTGCCCCAGCAACCTTCCTCTCCTTAGCGTGTAATGTTTGATTCAGTGCCTTGATTATTGAGTTTGTTGTTGGTTCACGCCTTGCTCCGAGGGTTTTTCTCCGGGTTCTTTGGTGAAAAGTAACGATAAAGCTCCTACGTGGCCTTTCTTTTGTCCCATTTCGGTTTGTTTCCTTCCATGCTAAAGTTGTATAGGAACCCTAAGGGTAATACCTTAGAGCTTTGGTCTGTGCATACTTACTGTTCTTGTGGGAGGCGCGGTTGCGGCGTTGGACGCTGGAGCAAGCGGTCTATGTTCTAAACGCTGACCAGGGTTATTGTGTTGTTTTCTTTGGTTAGACGCTTTGTTTTCTCGCTACCCTTCCCCACCGGTATTGACAAACTGTTAAGGATACCTGTCCAAACGCTGGAGGAGGGTTTGGGGGGAGGGGGGGGGGGTGTAACCTGCTATGGACTAGTATCCTATTCCATTCCTGGGAAGTAACAATACTCCCGGGCCCTTTAGGCCACGAAAACCTGGTTTATTTCCACCCAGGTGGGGGAGTCAACCTGTTAGCAGACGTTTTATGCGTGCCAATTTAAACGTTGACCTTTTTTTCAGGCACTCCTCTGCTAGGGCCTGACGGGAATCCGCTGGTTATGCAGCCGAGCTACCAACAAGTCATGGTCAAACAAGGTTCAACACCAGGCTACACTCCGCCATCTTCAGTCCGAGCCCCTGTTCAAGGTGCACAGCAGCCTTCCGCAGTAGCACAGCCGCAACAACAACAGCGGCAACAGCAACAACAACAACAGCAGCAGCAGCCTGCTGTGAATTCTGGCCAAATTGTTATGCCGCAGTATGTCGGTGTACCACAACCGATGTATGTGATGCCAGCTAATGGGCGGCCTCCTTATGCGCCGCAACAGGCTGTAAGTTTTCCAAATCAGTTTCCGTCTTCTTCACAAATGTACTCTCTGTCTAGAGATTTCAGTTCACTCTCGTTTAAAAAGTTTTAGTTTTCCGCAGTAGTGCAAGCTCCGTTTCTTTTTGTTGTAGAAGGCAATAGGCAGCAGATAATGTAANATACCCTATCCTAGAGTAAACTGCTTGAAAACCATACCCTTCACAGCAGCACATACCTATATAGCCTATAGATGGCAGTATCCCCCC